TATCAATATTGTTATTTATAAAACATCTAGACATTCCCACTGGAAATAAAGTGGATTCAAATTGTTTTTCAACTAAACTGATTTTATTTATTTAAAAATTCCAGTCAGAAAAGGTCACGATTTAAAAAAAATCCTATATTCTCTATACAAGTCTATACAGTGATTTTCTAAAAAAAAAAAAAAAAAAAAAAATGGCCGACCTTCGCCTTCTTGTGTCTATACCTAAACCGACTCTGACTATATTTTTACACTTCAAACCATTCATTTGATTTAAAAACAGCATCAACACACCCCCTAGGTTTAATCTCATAGTATAGATTAAGTTTTCCTAGTATCACACTCTAAAAAGGGTTAAAATACTTATTTTATGTATTCAGGTGACCCGATTTTAGCCCTTCGGTTCAACATCAATGCTTCTTTTCTAGACGACAGATAAATGTCATGCATCAAAAATACTGTGAAATCATGCCTGAAACTTACCTTCATCTTATGGCTAAGATGTTTCCATGTATTTCTAATCCCATAATAAGTTATTCACTCCAATGTATGGATTGTGAAGCACAAAATAACACAATTTGACGTCGCCAAGATTTTTTTTGGCTCTCGCTTTAGGGTGCTCTCTTTTACGCTCGCTCTGTGCGCATAAATACGGCAGTTTGCCAGAGCTCAGTGTCATTCTGTTAGTATCAGTTTTGATGATACCGTATCAGTATGGCTGCTATGGATGAAGATGATATCGCCAACTATTATCTTATTCCAGGGGTAGAGATTGTAAATGTCTGGATCGTCAGAGACGTAGCCACCGGCAGGGAGTTAGCTCGCTGGCCGATAGCTACCCTGGGCCTAGCCAGTGACCTGATGAGGGGGAGAAGACGACGAAGGCGCCATAGAAGAAGATCGCCGTCTACCAGTGATGAAGATGACCAGCCAAGGAGAAGGAGGAGGACAGATTCACCACCACCACCAACTTCCTATTCGGCCCCTCTGAGTAGTCCGGAACTACTCCAGGACACCCCGAGAAGCCCGTCCCCTCCAAGAAGACCACCTACTCCTACCTGGTCACCCAGTCATCCCCCGGGAGCAGCTGCTGGACAGTGGGATTCTTCCGTAGATTCGGATTGGACTCCTCCCGTTAACAACGATTGGGCTGGACAGGGGGATTCGTCATCCGTTGATTCGGATTGGTCCCCTCCCGTCAACGATGACTGGGCACCCTCCCCGGAGCTGGCAAGACCACCACCACCCTCCCCGGAGCTGGCACCACCACCACCCCCGACCCCGGAGATGTCACCAGGTGTGAGTACTACGGGGTCAATTCCATTTTGGGGGATTCAAGTAGCAGCAGCCAGGCTGGATTCCTGTGCAGTTTGCTTACAGGAGGATGTTATGTCCAACTACATTTGCTGCCAGTGTCGCCGTCGACCGGCTTGTCTTGAGTGTTCAGCTGTGCTGGTACAGATGCACCAATCTTGCCCACTTTGTAGGACCAGGCGTGTTGCATATAGAGCACCTCGCAGGCGAGGATTGAGACGACCTCCTCCAAGACAGTCATCTCTACCCCCACCCGGAAAGCCGGACTTTCTGGAGCCGTTGACCGGTAACCAGCGACCTCCCCTCTCAGGCAGAACAGAGTTCCGCGGCAGAGGCAGAGGTAGAGGCAGGCCTCTCAGGGAGTAAACCCTTGATAAAAAAAATCAACCAACAGCCCTTTTAAGGGCCACTTTAATGATTTTAATAGATACCTTTTTAAAAACATCAAGGTTATAGAAACCTATAAACACCAGGTCACTGTTTTTTTTTGAAATTTTAAAAAGATTAATCTTCTTTTTTTTTTTAAAAAATGAAATAACATAAAAACATTTTTTTTAATTTTTTTTATAACACAGTCAATATTTATAACACACAATCAATGTTTATGAAGAATGTACACTTGTTTTTGATAAGTCTTTACAAATTGTTCAATATATTGTCTATAATGAGTCCAATTTCCTCCTGCTAAACCACATCCTATTTTATAAGGAAAGGCATAAGTCTGGTAAGGTAAAGTTCCCAATTCTTGTTAACAAGCTTGAAACCATTTTTCTCTATTTTCTGGTGTATCTTGATAATAAGGTAGGCGATTATAATGTTCTGTTCCATAATCCCATTGAGCTAACAGACAAATGACTACGGGTTTTTGTAAAGAAAACACTTTAAGGGTGCCTGGAATTCCTCTATCTTCTTCTAGGGCTAAATTTCTAGACCCTAAAGGTCTGCGGGTAGCATATAAATTAGCTCTGGGGTATTTCATAGCTATACTTTGACTCAATCCATGAGCTTTTACAGTCAAACAATTACATTGATGTACAATAGCTTCTACAGGAAAGTTTAATAAATCTCCTGGTATCTCCTGTAAACTCATGTTTGGGAATAATTTTTTTTCCAATGTCACACCTTTATATATATAACCTGAACAAAAAAAATAACAACAATAACAAAACTGTTAAAAATTTTTAATCTGTATTTTCCAGATACTCAATCATTTCTCTCTTTTTTTCTATGTAATCTCTCCAGGCACCAATTTCCCATTTCCCATATGCATCTCTGGACTCTAATTCTTTGTTTCTCTCCTCAGGTTTCAGAATTCCATATTCTTCATAGTAGCCACCTTGCTCGTAAAACATTCTTTCTAATTCTGGTGTACTGTGAGACATACAAAAATCTGCATACAAGTGAATTCTAGCCACATTCAGTCCTCCTACAGGTTTTTTCATTTGAATGAATCCCCTGATTTGATGCACTTTTCCTGTCCAGGGATGAATTTCTTTTTGTAGGATCAGGTATTGAAATTCATCTTCACAGCTCATGAACATATCTATATCTTCTTCTTCTCTCACATCATGGATGACAAATGCCCAGTTAATGGCTACTGGATAATCTCTGAATGGGTTCTTTGGGTCATGGATCTCCTCATTTTCTCCCAAGTAAACATTACAGGGTTCTTCATCCTCCAGAGTTTTCACTTCCATTCTTCTTTGAGGACTGGAATGTTCTTCTTCCATATGCATGATCAATCTTTTTTCTAATAACTGTTATTTCTCCTCATCTATATCCATAGTCTCTATTTTTTCTAATGACTGTTTTCTCCTCATCTATATCCATAGTCTCTGTTTTTTTTTCCAAACTGACTTTGACTCATGGTTAGGGTCAACTGATCATGATCATTCTCACACCTTGTATTTATACCCTCAGGGGTGGTGTGCAAAAATGTGTTTTACCTACGTTTTTATTGAGACACTACTGTGTACGTTTTGTTTACGTTATGCTGAGTCAGTCAATACACAAACCTTATATTATGACGTCATACTTGGCCGTGATTCACAGTCTAGGTAAAAACCACACACACAAGCTCAATGTTAATGGATTTATTCAAGTAAATCTACAATCTCTTGGAATTAATTCTTTGTTTCTCATTTCAGGTTTTAAAGTTCCATATTCTTCATAGTTGTCACCTTGCCTATAAAATGTTCTTTCTAATTCTGGTGTGCTGTGAGACATATCAAAACAGGTTAACCCATGAATGATTTTGTACATGTCTCTCTCATTGGTACAGTGCTTCATTTGAATGAATCCTCTCACATGATGAAGTTTTCCTGTTTCTGGATGCATTTCTTTTTGTAAGATCAAGTATTGATAATCACTTCTAATGATTTGATCTATATCCTCCTGATGGCCCCCAGTTAAATTAAATATCCAATTAGCAGCTCTTCTAAATCTCTCCTTTTTAAATTTGGCAATATAATGATTGCCTGGATCTTTTTTATGTTTGTTCTCATAATGAGTTTTAATGTCTTTCAACAATTGAGTTCTGATTTCCATGATTAATCCTTCTGTCAGACTCATGTTTGAAAAAAAGATTTTTTTTGGTGACACACACTTTTTATATAGATAACAATTCAAGATATTTAAATTATTTTTATTCAGATTCTACAATGATTCTTATCTTGGTTTAGAATCCTGTGTCAATCTTTTCTTTTTTTTCTCAAAATACTTCTTTTTTTGATACATCTTGGCTTCTTCTGCAGTCAAAGGTCTTTCAGGGTAATCTTTTTTTTTGTGGTAATAAATGGGTATATTCTTCTTCTGTAGTCAAGGGTCTTTCAATGTAATCTCTCACATCATTAGGATCACCCTTTTCTGGACATAATTGATTATATTTTTCATTAGAAATGATCTCAATAGTCCCATCCTCATGTATTTGAATTGGTATACCTCTATCCACATCTTCCTCTCTCAGAACTCTCTTTCCAAATTGAATTTTACTCTTTTCTTTACTGGACGTGTTACCCATGATTAGGACAAATCAATAACTGATATATTTTTCATTCTACACCTTGTATTTATACCTTTTTTCTATCTATATTTAGTATCACCCCCTTTTTAAAAAAAAAAAAAACCAAAAAAAACAAGAACAGATTTTTTTTTCTTTATTGATAACAATAACAACAACAACAACAATTACAATACATTTTGATAGAAACATTGACAAGTTTGTCCATGACCCGTAGGTCTTTTATGATAAGTGTCTTTAAACCATTGAGCTACATAATGATCTCTTTGTAAAGCTGTACTATGGTCAAAGGGGAATAACCACTCATCTGCGGCTTTTCTCTTCTTGTATCTTTGATGTAAATAATACACGCAATATTGTCCACATACATCTGTATTCCAATCTTGATATTGGTACGGATTATAAATCCATTGTTGAGCATGACGATGGATAAAAACTTGAATTTCTTTTTGTAAGGGAGGAAATCCATAAGAATCAAAATATTCGATGACTGGACTGGACAAATACAAACATACCCAATGTTCTCCAGGTTTATCTTGAGGATCCGTATTCACCACAATGGCTTTTTCTTGAGGTCTTAATTGATCCGGTAATAAATCTAAAGGGTACACACCACCAAAAGAACTCTTTAATTCTCTGGATAAGACTTCTTTTAATTGTCCTGTATCCATTAATAATCAATACTGACTTCTCTCTGTTTGTTGATTTCTAACAGATTATCGAATTCTGCATATACCACACAATTTAAGGTGTTCACCGTATTGTTCGTAAATTGGACTTCTACTCTCAGATTTCCGGTTTCTATGATGTGGAATTTATCCGATTGCGCCTCTTGATCTTTAGTGAAATCCCAGCCCCATAAAGTGTATCCGTTTTTATACTCTTCTAGGGTGATGTCCGGGGCCCAATCTTCTCCTAATTTTCCCAGTGCTTGATGTAAACTCAGATAAGATCTCAGATATAAGTCTTCATTGAAATTAGGTTCGAAACAATGAGTACTCATGTTCTCTCCGTTAATACTGATATCTAATTTCGTAATTCCCACGTTTTGGAAATGAAACGGATTTTTAGTTTTATCTCCGTTAAAAGCCGCATTGTCCACAAAGCCTAAAATGATGCGCGTAGGCATCTGGCCTTGAAACAGATGATCCGTGATTTTAGATTGAGTTCCTGTGGGTATAGTAAAGGTTTTCACTTCGACTCTTCTCAAAGGATATTTAGCTCTGTGAGTGTGTAACGGTTGATTTTGCGCATACTAAAAGAACACGAAACGCACACCATACTTTATTAAACCGATTGTCTATTTATAGAGTTTCTGTCCTTGCGCCAGGTATTTAATTTTATTTAGAGATTATATTATTAAAAACTTTATAAAAATTATATTTGAATATTAATTTAGTTGCTATCTATTTTTAATAATTTTCAGTGCAGTGATTTGAATTTATAAAAATATTATTTTGTTGAGTAAATCTCTAAGATTTAAACTGGTTTGTCAAGTTATCTATTAATACTCACTGTGCTGACGCCCCTGTTATGAACTGAACGTGTTCGATTGAGTTTGAGAGTGATGCGTGTTACGGTAAGAATGTTTGTTAATCTTGTGTTTTATTAAACTTGAATTATACTAATTATTATATCTTTTTATCGTTAATATAATAAATACCGGTAATTCTGTTTATTTAAATGTAGACACCACACGCGCAGTAAAAGTACGAGTGAGTGACTGGGTGTGGCATTGCCATATTTTGGTGGTATGTGTTCGTTTGAATTGAAATTCATATACTGATTAATTCTTTTATTTTTGTTTGTGTGTTCTATTGGTAATGTGTGTATATATTTTTGCTTGTTTGTAGCTCATTGCCAATTTGATAATTTAATTTAAAATAAAGAACCATAAAAAAAGAACTTGACTTTAGTCGTTACAAATGGCGTCGTGGACATACAATTAAAAAGAAACCTTTTGGCAATGAGTTACTTCTAGGCCCACACTCGATGACAACTTCGGAATTCTGAAGTGCCTTTTGCCTTTGTCGACGTTAAGCAGACTACAGTGCCATTCGATTGACGTTTCTGATATCCCGAGCTCTAACTTCAACTACCAGTGAACGAGTGCATTCGCCAAAGACTTTGAGTTTGGTTTATGTTCAACGCCAACGCAACGGACATCTGAGTATTCCAAACAACGCCCCTTGAGGTGACAAAAAAACTTCACCTGTTTATAACTGTGCACTTAAACAATAAGAATTGTGTAATTATATCTGTGCATTCGTGTATTAATCTACTTTCAAAAATGTCTACTAAGAGGGAAATCAAAGAACTTCTTGAACTTGAAAAAGAAAAATCAGAACAGTTAGAAAATGAAATAGCAACACTTCACCAGAGGTTGAAGAAAACTGAAAGTGCTTTGAGTTTGAAAGAAATAGAAATGAAATATAAAAATGAACCAAAACCAAATAAAACTGTCTTTGTTGCGAGAGAGAAAAAGATTGCAAGGTTGTGTGGTAGACCTGTGAAAGAGAGTGACCCCGATGTAGCAGAATGGTTAGATGATGCTAGGCAACATTTAAAAGTTATTGATGATGAAGATGCAAAGATAGATTTTTTGATGGACAATTTAAGTGGTCAGGCAAAAGATGAAATAAGATTAAGACCTAGAATGGAAAGAAATACATCTGACAAAGTTCTAGATATCATTAAAGATGTTTTTGCAAGTATATCAAAGAGATCAGAAATTTGGCGAGTCGTTGTAAAATTACTCTTTAGCATTAATGAAATTACTCGACAAGATCGTGGCAAAAGATTACAAAGCTGTAAGCGATTTCGATGAGATGTTAAAAGAGCGGTTTGTTGAAGGCATTCGTGATTCATCTCTCCGAAGAGAGATTAGACGTTTTTCGTTCGAACAGAAATCTATGCCTTTTGGTGAATTTAGACAAACGGTGTTGCAATGGTCTGAAGATTACAAGAGTGAGCCACTAGGTAAGTCATGCTCAGTACATGAAACTAGCATTCAAGAGAGTATGAAAACAAAGGTTACAAAATCACATGATGATGGTCAATTATCAGAGATTCTTGATATTCTTAAATTGCAACAAAAGCAAATAGATGAAAATCAAAAAGAGTTAAAGAAATTATCAGAAGAGGTTATGAGAAAAATAAATCCACAGTTTGAAACCAAACCTTTGCAAGGAAGACAATTTCCTAAAGTCAGACAATCCCATTTAACATGTTTCCGTTGTGGCGGAAAGGGACACAAAATACAAGACTGTAGTTCTCAGTTAGAAAACAACAATCCTCCACGTAAAGGTAGGTCACAAGGGGCACCTGTCTCTAATTTTCCTTTAAACGCGAAGCGTCTGTTGTAGAGAGTCGCCCAGCAGATGAAAGTGAGAGGATAAAAGACTCATTTGATCAGAGGATCATAGACAGAGCTATAGGACAATGTCCTGTCGTAACAGTACAGATTGAAGGTAAGCCAATTTCGTGTCTGATTGACACTGGCTCACAAGTATCTACTATCACTGAAACTTACTTTCGAGATCTGTTGAAAGCTGAACCTAAGTTAATTGACGTTACGAAGTGGATGAAAGTGTCTGGCGCCAATCACTTACCGATACCATACATTGGTTATATTGAGGTAGTGATAGACACTGCTCATGGTCGTGTACCAAATGTTGGAATACTGGTGGTTAAGGATACCACAGACCAATATGGTAAGCAGAAAAAGTTACAAGTTCCTGGAGTACTCGGGAGTAATTTCTTCCATATTCTAAAGGAACAAGTTGAACAAAAGTTATATTCAGTCACTGAAAAGAATGATCAGTTATTGAATACATTGTCTATTTTTGAAATGAATACGTCAGTTTACGGTTCTCAAAGATCTAGTTTTGTCAAAGTTGCGGGTCAAGATCCTATTAAACTTCCTGCAAATTCAATGAAAGTTGTTTTAGGTACTGCACGTCAGACGTCCAAGAACTTTAGTGGTTTGGTCCAAGCTGTCCATGGCAATAATGGTACTCTACCGAAAAACATCTTGTTGATAGACACCTACGCAGATATAGAGAATGGTATGATTCCAGTTCGAGTCGTAAACATCGGAGATGAAGATGTTTGGTTGAATCCAAAAACCAGGATCGGTATCCTTCATGACGTCAAAGTTGAGTACGCTGCCCAGCCCAACTGTCAGGCAGAAATTGAGGTAAGCACTCAAGAAATTCAAGTTTACATCGAAAATATTCGTGAGAACTTGGAAAGGGTAGATGATGTCAAAGCCGTAGTTAGCACAGATAAAGCTATTCAAATTCATGGAGTAGAAGTAGATGTCGGAGGAATCATATCATATGACGAGAAGGAAAGGTTGGTATCGGTTCTGAATAGACATCAAGACGTTTTCTCCAAAAACAGCGACGATTTAGGTTCTACCGATACGGTCAAGCATAAAATACTTACTACAGATGAAGTTCCTGTCAAATTGCCACATAGACGGATACCTCCTAATCAAATCGAAGAAGTGAAGTTGCACATTCAAACTCTTCTGAAACAAGGTATTATTCGACCCAGTACAAGTCCATATGGAGCCGCTGTTGTTTTAGTCCGCAAGAAAGACGGTACATTACGTCTTTGCGTCGACTATCGGCGACTAAATCTCAAAACAATCAAAGACGCATTTCCAATTCCCAGGATCGAGGAGGCACTAGATGCACTTCATGGCGCTAAATTCTTTTCTACCTTAGATCTTGCACAAGGTTTTTATCAGGTACAGATGGATAAGCAGGACCGCCAGAAAACGGCATTCAGAGTTGGTCCCTTGGGTTTGTATGAATTTGTCCGCATGCCCTTCGGTCTTTGTAATAGCCCAAGTACTTTTCAAAGGTTAATGGAAGCTTGTTTAGGTGACAAAAACTTCAAAATCCTTCTTTTGTATCTCGATGATATTCTTGTCTTTTCTCAATCATTCGATGATCATTTAGAACGACTTGAATTTGTTTTCAACAGATTAAGATCTCACAATCTAAAAATAAAACCTTCAAAGTGTCATTTTTTCCAAAGCGAGGTCAAATACTTAGGCCATGTTGTTAGCGAAGACGGTGTCAACGTTGACCCAGAGAAAATTTCTGAATCAAAGACTGGAAAACTCCTCAAACAGAAAAAGAATTACGTTCCTTTTTAGGCCTAGCCGGGTACTATCGTAAATTTATCAAAGGGTTTAGTCAAATTGCTGCTCCTCTTCATGCTGTATTGTCTAAACAAGAAAAAAAGACCAAAGGTAGGAAAATCGTAACAAGGCAAATTCCATTCAAACATAAATGGAATTCAGAGTGTGACAATGCTTTTGAAAAACTAAAATCATGTCTTACAAACACTCCAGTTTTAGGTTTTCCAAACTTCAGTTCTCCATTTATCCTAGAAACGGATGCCAGTTTTGATGGTTTGGGTGCAGTTTTGAGTCAACAGCAAGAGTCCGGAAGAGTCGTAATCGCCTATGCATCTAGAAGCCTTAGACCAGGTGAGAGAAACATGTCGAATTACAGCTCCATGAAATTGGAATTACTTGCTCTAAAATGGGCGGTAACTGAAAAGTTTCGAGACTATTTGTTAGGTAGCAGTTTTATCGTATACACTGACAATAATCCCCTCAGTTATTTCAAAACAACAAAGTTAGCAGCCAGTGAACTGAGATGGGCTTCGGAGTTGGCACAGTTCAATTTTGATATCAAGTATAGATCCGGAAAGTCAAACAAAAACGCAGATAGTCTTAGCAGAAGGTATTTAGAAATTAATTCTGAGGAAATTTTAGCAGAATTGTCTCAAAGTGTTTCCTTGAGAGAGTTTATTACAGACTGTCAGACAATTACAACGGACAAGGAACTTACTCCTATGTTTCCTGAATACACTTCAGACGATTTACGGAAACTGCAGGTGGAGGATCCAAAGATCAATAGAGTACTTCACTGGATGGAGATTGGCCACAAACCAACATCACGTCAAATTTCGAAAGAGAACGGAAAGGTGAGAAAATATCTAAGGAAGTATCATTTGTTACAGTTCAAGAATGGTGTCTTGTACATGACCAGTAAGGGATTTGATGGTGAGTGTTTACAGTTAGTGTTACCAGAATGTCTTAGACCACAGGTAATGGAGTCTCTGCATGATTGTTCTGGACACCAGGGTCGAGAGAGGACATTTGCACTTGTGAGGAAAAGATGTTACTGGCCAGGAATGCAGGCAGACGTCATCAAATGGATCGAAAAATGTGAAAGATTGCCAAGATTGCTAAGACACCAGTTCCAACAATTAGACCATCAATAGGTAACTTGATAGCTAAACAACCATTAACATTTTGGCAATGGATTTTACATTATTAGAAAAATCTTCAGATGGTTTTGAAAATGTTCTCGTTTTGACCGACGTTTTCACGAAATATACCATGGCAATTCCTACAAAGAATCAAAAAGCCTCTACTGTCGCTAAACAGCTAGTCTACAATTGGTTCTATAAAATTGGCATACCAAGTCGTTTGCATAGTGACCAAGGTAGGAATTTTGAGGGTGAGGTGGTCAAAGAGTTATGCAAGTTGTATGGTATAAAAAAATCACGTAACACTCCCTATCATCCTGAAGGTAACTCGCAATGCGAGAGATTCAACCGAACGATGCATGATAGGTTAAGAACGCTTGATGCACAGAGAAAAAGAAAATGGACGGCGTATTTGCCATGACATGTTTATATATACAATGTTACACCTCATTCTACTACAGGATTGACACCTTATTTCCTCCTTTATGGAAGAGAACCAAGATTACCTGTAGCAGGGATGGGCACGATTACTGAAAAATGTAATCGATTAATAATCGATTACTTAGAGGAATTTTGTGTAATCGATTATTAATCGATTACACTCATTTTTGTCCTGTAATCGATTGTAATCGATTACTTTGGAAGATGTAATCGATTAATAATCGATTACTTCCAAGTTTTTATCTCTTCAAATTTAAATGGTAAATGTTGATGTTATCCACTGAAGTTTGAATGTGTTCCTGCAGTTTCAGTGCAGATTCTTTTAAGGTTTTATTCTGGCTAACATTCTCACTAAATGCCCAAATGAGGGATTCTCTACTTATAGTGGAGACATGATTCCTACAATAAAATATGCCAAGGAATTAATTATTCCTTTCAACCTTGGATCTGAACCTCCATATTTATTGACTTGTTGAAAAAATTGTTTAATATTTTATTGTGAATTACTTCATTAGAAGTATTTGGGCTGCCCGTATGTTGACAGAACACATTAAACAGTCCTGTACGTGTCTTTTTTTTAAAAAATAAGTAAATTAGAATGAGCTCTTAGTAATAAACATGTAAATTAAATGTGTCCTTAAGTAATTTAACTAATACATGTAGCACAATTTCATTCTGTATTGAAATAAGTGTTTTGAGAGCTATTAATTGTTTTAATAATACTGTTTGTCTTCAACGGAATGAAAGTTAAACACTAGGTAGTTCACAGTTTACACCTCATTATCTGCAATCAGGGAGATGTCTTAGTCAATTAATTAGCCAATTAAGATAAGCCAACACAGTGACACTTACTCCCTCTCTTAGACACTTATAACCTAGCTCTCACTGATATAAAAGCAACCTTACAATTTTGAATGAAAACATGAGAATGATTTTGCAAATTTTAAAGTTACTGAAACAAAAGTTTGAAGTTGTTTAAACATTTTCAGATATGAATAAGTATTTCCATCTTCTTTTTTTCGAGTACAATGTAGTTTATTTACCAAATTATTTATATTTCATACAGCACTTAAATCTGTTTTTGTTATTTATAATTTTCTATTACAAGACAAAGTTTTTCAACATCTGAAATATGAAAAAGGACATGCAGCAAGAGGACAGTGGGTCAAATGTAAAATGCACATGAAAAATCTGTATATTTTATTAATAAATGGTTGAAATACACTTCTGAATTATTTAATACTAGACCAGTAGGTCTATAATGCAAATTTTATTGAGAACATTATTAAACTTATGATAAGAAAAGTTAGGAAATCCAAACATTACACTAGGTGGTTTATATTTGATATTTATGTGTGACTGACTGGAAATAATTCTCCAAAATAACATCCATTTATGTATAAAATAATCGAAAGTAATCGAAAAAGTAATTATAATTACATTGAAAATTTTAGCTGTAATCGATTAAATTACGATTACAAGTAATCGAAAATCTCTTCGATTACAGATTACTGTCGATTACTTGAAAAACAGTAATCATTACAATCGATTACGATTACTCGATTACGATTACCCCATCCCTGACCTGTAGATCATTTATTTGGTACCAACAAGGATGATGTATGCTACCAGGTAGACGATTGGTTGAAGTCCCACAAAGAGCATCTTAAGTACGCCTGGACTGTTGCAGGTAAGAAAACAGAGAACAGCGCAGAAAAACGACGGGAGTTTCATGAAAGGAAATCCACTCCTTGTTCTATTGATGTAGGAACAAAGGTTCTGATTAAAAACCATGTACAAGGTAGGAATAAGATACAGGATGTGTGGAAATCAGATCCTTACATTGTCACAGGTAAGTTACAGGAAAATGTTTACGAAGTAAAGTTAGCAGATGGTAGTAATGAAACAAAAGTTCTTCACAGAAACGAGCTCTTAGATACAAAAGAAAAGCACCAAAATGAGCAAACTAATATTTGTGAAGAGTCTGACTCTGATGAGGAAATAGAGGTATAGATTATGACTTTGAACGAATGACATTTTTTCGGGTTTTTATAAATTATGTATATAGTCAGTTTTATCTACTTGTTGATGAGGGCATCAACAAAATTGTGCGGGGAGGAGTGTAACGGTTGATTTTGCACTTACTAAAAGAACACGAAACGCGCACCATACTTTATTAAACCGATTGTCTATTTATAGAGTTTCTGTCCTTGCGCCAGGTATTTAATTTTATTTAGAGATTATATTATTAAAAACTTTATAAAAATTATATTTGAATATTAATTTAGTTGCTATCTATTTTTAATAATTTTCAGTGCAGTGATTTGAATTTATAAAAATATTATTTTGTTGAGTAAATCTCTAAGATTTAAACTGGTTTGTCAAGTTATCTATTAATACTCACTGTGCTGACGCCCCTGTTATGAACTGAACGTGTTCGATTGAGTTTGAGAGTGATGCGTGTTACGGTAAGAATGTTTGTTAATCTTGTGTTTTATTAAACTTGAATTATACTAATTATTATATCTTTTTATCGTTAATATAATAAATACCGGTAATTCTGTTTATTCAAATGTAGACACCACACGCGCAGTAAAAGTACGAGTGAGTGACTGGGTGTGGCATTGCCATATTTTGGTGGTATGTGTTCGTTTGAATTTTAATGAGTGACTGGGTGTGGCATTGCCATATTTTGGTGGTATGTGTTCGTTTGAATTGAAATTCATATACTGATTAATTCTTTTATTTTTGTTTGTGTGTTCTATTGGTAATGTGTGTATATATTTTTGCTTGTTTGTAGCTCATTGCCAATTTGATAATTTAATTTAAAATAAAGAACCATAAAAAAAGAACTTGACTTTAGTCGTTACAAGTGTTCAAACCTTAATTAATACCATTCATCATGACTGCCGTGGGGTTGACTTTTCTTACCCACAAGATCATGCTCAATATTTTGACTTTTCCCGTACTTCCTGCTTTGATCATCATATAGAACTGAGGTTTAGCTCGATTAAATCTCAAACGGACATCTACTCCATTGGGTAGAAATCGGTCTTGTTGAAATAAATCCAGATGTAAACGATCATACAAGGTTATTTTCTTACTATCATTTATAGCCTGGTGACGTTTTCTAAATCCTTCGTTTTAGAATTGGCCGGTAACTCTGGGATGATAGGTTGGTTAATGGTCACAGTATCAGCAGCACCCTGTGCACCTGGGGTTACATCAAATGTCTTATTTTGAGCCACTCCAAGGTCTGCTACCCCTACTTCATCCATGTGTCCTGCTGTATCTTTTTCTCACAGACTACAAGCTCTCATCTGTGTCATTAAAGTTCTGGGTTTGTAAGAAAGTAATTTCTCCAGATAAGCTTTGTAAGGATAAGTATCGGTTCCAGGAGTCACTATTTTTCCATTGACACTGAAATCGATTTCCGTAAACAAGGAATGTAAGATATTATTCACCGGGGCGCAAGTACTGCCAGCTCCAGTCAGATTAGTACCATCATCTTTGGTAAATTTACACACCATATGAACATACGTTTGAGATAAATCCAGATATTGATCTCCTTGTCCATTAATTTCAAATTCAATAGGAGCCGTATCCGAATCTAAAGTACTGGAAATGGGGTAATATTCTTCCCATTTGGAGTCTTCTAAAGCAATATTAGTCGGGGGGACTTGGAACAATTCTAAATTGTTCATCCCACACGCACAGGAATCTGGTTGCAACATGATGTGTCTACTAGGATTGATTTTTCACAAATGAAGGTCAATATCACTCGACTCCCCTATTTATAGTGTCAATCAAAGATATCTAAACCCCTTTTTTTCTTCTTGGGAATATTGCCTCCTTGATTTTTTCTTTTTCTCTTAGGACCTCCTCGGGCTAACACAGGTGTCTTTTTTCTTCTTTTCTTACTACCTCCTAGATTCATTCTTTGTTTCAGGGCTTGTACTCCGTGAATTTTGACAGCGTCTTTTAAAGATCTCTTATTTTCTAACACATCTAACCCCGTTCTAGCAGCAGCAGTCAAGGCATGTTTAGCTCCCGTTTTCAGTAAATCTCTAAAAAATCCTCTGCCTCTCTGCCGTCTTCTTCTTTTTCTTCTCCCTTGACCTTTTTGACCTTTCTTATTCATCTTTTTAAAAGCTAAAGTTCCTCCTCTATTGAAAGCAAATAAGCCTGTATTTTTAACGGCATTGAGTCCATGAGTTAAAAGAGCATTTTTGATATTTCTCTTTTTTTTTAATCATATCCGCTCCTATTTTAGCTCCGGCAATCAAGGCTTGATTACGACCCATTTTGACTAGATCTTTAAGAAATCCTCGACCTCTTTGTCGCCGGCCTGAGCCTAATTGGGCAGCTTGTTTTAAAGTCATCCCTATAGGTAAGTTCGGTACAAGTCCCGACATGAAGTCTAAAAAAATTTCCTCCTCTTTGAGATTTAATTTGATCCACAAACCTACTAAATTTCTTTAAATTGAATGGATTAAACCAGGGTGGTAGTCCGGTAGAATCAAAGGGAAGGGCTCCAACCAATCCAGATATAATTCCACCTACACCGTGTCCTTTTTGACGTAATAAACCTCTATGATAGACAAACTGTCCGTGTCCTCTTTGTCTCAATAATCCGGGATGATACTGCATGTTTCATGACTCGTGTCAGACTGACCTAAATGCACTCAAGTGACTCCTTTTATACCCCTGTCTTAGGGTTGAATACAATACAGACAGCATATCAGACAAGTCATCACTCCCAATAGGATGTAACAAAAAAGATGTACACTCATCTCAGTACACTTTTCTGAAATGAAGTTTCACGGCCGATTTTCCATTTAAAAAAGGCATGGAAGTCCCTAAAGGAGTCATGCTATGAATCTCAATGCTATCGAAATGTTTTTTACTCAGTTTCAAATATTCCGCTCTAACGGGTTCCCATTTAGCTTGTTTTTTATCTTCCAGATTGAGTGTACAAGGAACCACTCTTAATAATTTCAAGGCATTGGATCCTACCGTCTGGGGTTCAATTAAGTCACAATACACGTACCTGGATTTCAGATTTTCACATAAATCTACGGTATTGTTGCCCATGTAACTAATGTTGATTCATTTGGTCATGTTTTCTGTATCGTTCTGAAGAATCACCTTCTTACTTTCTATTCCTAGCTTATAAGCTAAGGCTGTGGGGAAACGAATGCAAAAGGGATATTTTTTAAGTTCTTTCCCGATAAACTGATACATCACTTTATCATATTTGTCATGATATATTAATTTCATGGCATTCTCTTTTTTAGAATCACCCAAAAACTTCCATAATTTTTTCAAACTTCTTTCCTGTCCAAGACTGATTTCACCTGTTAAAGCCATGGGATGAATGTAAGGCCCCGGTCTAAAGTGAATTCGCTGAATTTCCATCTTCTGGTCTGTCTTTATGAGATTAGCAAATTCAGCATGGGCCCAATCTAACAGTACAGGACATTCGCATAATGGCATCGCATCTATGGTTTTCATTTTAAATCTGTCCCATTTAAAAACATTAGGTTCTTGGACTTTTGGAGCATAAAACTGAGGAAGCAGGATGTCAAAATAAGCTTCCTCTTCTGTGATGTTTTTCAATGAAATGGGATACATCAATTCTGTTAAAGCCACTTCCCATTGTCCATCTTTTAAATCTACTGTTTGTGGTAATAAGGTTTTAAATTGAGCAGTCGTATTACTCGGAAAAGATTGCATGGACCCATCACTGGGTAAAGTCATGTAAAAACTACTGCTCTCGGCCATGTTCAGTGAGATACTGAGACAAAATAACTTATGACCCTTCTATTTATAACAACAATTTTTTTTGTTTTTTTAATTTTTTTTATTTGGCATATTATTACACTTCTTCTTCTTCGGATCTGTAAGGAATTACTGTCTCAAAACACTGGCCCTCTTCGTTTTCCAAGCTATCTTTAATCTGGGAAAAAGGAATACGACAATACAGGTACTCTGTAGGACAGTAATAGCTAGGAATCCTCAGTCCATCTTTTTGCTGGTTCCAGAACAAATCACGAAGACAGTGTTCTATATTCCAGCACCATTCACTTTCAGCTATAACCACACGAGTCTGGAATTTACAACGACCTAGGATCAACCATTTGTACTGCTGATAATGATGGTATATTTTTACCCTCACCTTAGATCCTTTAGGATGCAAGAATTTCTGTCTTTTTTCCAACCACAGATCTTGAGTAGATGTTCCTGGATGATTTTCAAAATAATCCAGGATTGCTCCTATTTTAGTTTTCATCCAGGGTCCCTGCATGTAAATACATCCAAATAAACTCTCACAATACCAACGATACTGCACATATTTTTTTTTGGCGTCTGACTTTTAGACTTGACTTTTTCAGAATGAATAATTTTTTTTGTCATACCTCTTTATATAACCTTTTTATCAAATCTATTTTTAGTATCTCAGAAAAAAAAACCAACAACATTTTTTGATTTTATGATTTATTTCCTTAATATCTACATAATGGACAAAGTCTGTAGCAAGTCTTGACGAAGTTCTCGACACATTCCCCACAGCAAGGATACTGTCGGCATTGTTGATACTTCCATCTCCCCTCCGTATTTTCCTGCCAGCAGGTCAGGCATTTCTTTAAGGCTCTCTTCCTGGTTACTTTGACCCATAGGGGCACCATATTCTCCGCCCCGTACTTCCATGTGAAATATTTCACACACCAGTTACATCCACAGGTCTCCATGGAAGGGGGATCATCCACAAACCAGTGAGGAAAAGGCATTTCACAATGCTCGCAAATTTGATAAGTTCTGTGATGCCATCCTGGATAATCATACACCGTAAATGTACGCACATGGATCATCTCCCTATCACAGTAATGACAGTAATACTTTTCTACGTCAACCAAATACAACATTCTCTACACAAAAAACATGATTGAGCGCAGTGTACTCAAAGCTTAGCTTTATATACCTTATTTATAGGGTGGTGTGCAAAAATGTGTTTGACCTAGTTTTTTTTACTGAGATACTACTGTGTACGTTTTATTTACGTTTTGCTGAGTCAGTCAATACACAGGTAATACACAATCTTGGCAGAGATTCAAGTCAGTCAAGCTACCCATTGTGACGTCATTGTCACAAAATGTTATACACAGCTGAAGAGAGAGAGAGAGAAAAAAAGACATTTTTTTCTAGGTTTTTTTAATTTTTAATTCACAACAATAATAACATTAAAGTAACAAACATGGAATACTTTGGCATAGTTCTTTTTGAATAGGAAAAGTTCTCCGCATGTACAAATATTCTGTTTCACAAGCACAGTCCATGATGTCGTATCCTTCTTTGAGCACTTTGTTTACATACTCTTTGATACAATCTCGGACTTTTTCCATCCATTTCCCTTGAATCCAGGTCCTTGCTGGTCCCTCTCTTTTGTGAGCGAAGACGTATTTTACTTTCCATTTGAATTCCTGATACTGGGGTTGTCATGGCCCTAATAATACTATTATAAGTCGTCCACATTCATGGTCCGGTAATTTGATTCTCTTATACAGGTACACATCATTGACTCCTGTTTCTCCCGGATTCTTATCCATGAAACCTTGGATACATTCATTTTTGTTTTTCATCCATTCTCCTTTTTTAGTGGAACCTGTATGCTCTTCCATTTTCCAACGATACTCTGAGCTTAAAAAATCCATGTTGCTCTGTCCTCAGTCAGATCAGAAATGAAAAAAAAAATCTTTGTTGTTTCCCCATTTTATATACTCTGTGGTGTATCTATTTTTTTTTTTAAGACATTAATCCTGTGCATTCGCGGTCTTCTTAGGGGTAGGTGTATGATGCATCATCGTAGGACTAGGCATGATATAACCCACTGAAGAACTGACACATACCATCCAATATTCTCGATTAGGATCGTGTAAAGCTAACATGACCACACTGGTGACGATGAGAGATACACAGATAAATAATTGTGCGAAATAAACGATTTCTTCTCGAGGAACATTCTCTCCACAAAATTTCCAATGAGGAGTTATTTGATGAGATCCGTTTGGGGAATCCATGAATCGAAACTAGGGGGATATCCTTTCCACCGAACTTTGACTTCTTGAATGATTTTTTTCCCTACGCGTCGCTTTTTATACCCCAAGATTTCCTCCACTTCGTACACGTCGTCTTTTTTAATGATCTTTTGTAATTCTTTTTCGTAAAATGTCCCTTCTAATTCCTCTCCGTTATAATCTTGCACTCTATACACGTAAGGATACCTTCCAGGAACTTTTTTTAAAAATGGTAAACAGTTCTGTGGTCCAGTTAGGTAAATATCCTTTTTCAAATGTGCGCTTGGCTTTACTGATGCGTACCTGATCTCCTTCTTTAAACTGAGGTTTAGGAAACTGTTTTCGATTGGATTTCCCATATAAAGTTTTCCAGACTTTTAACACATTAGAAGCATTCACTTGAACTGGTGCTCTTTTAATACTCCGATGATAGGTATGATTGTAAGCATACATTAAATCCGGTAAAACTTCTAAATGCCGTCTGGTTTTATGACGAGTGAAATAACGCCACATGCGAGCTTTGAGTGTACGTTGAAATCGTTCCACGATACTGGCTTTAGTGTCCGTATTACGAGTGGTAAAAAAATGAATGGATTTAAAAGCTTGTAAGAATTCTCGATTAGTAAATTCTTTTCCTTGATCCGATTGAATGCGGACGG